GCTTTTCCTCAGTACTTTTTGTGAGCAGCAGTGTAGTAGATGTAGCCCGCAGACCACTGTTTGCAAAGCTCTTTATTGGAGAGTGGAAATGTCATGGGTCTAGTTTATCTGGTTTAATGCTGGAATTAATTGTCTAAGTTGGTGCAGATGTGGATGGCTTGGTGCAAAATTGAAAGATGGATAAGCAATAGGAAAAAGGAGAAATGTGGAAATAAGGAATATTAGTCTAGAAGGAAGAGTCCGTGAAAAGATCAGCTAAATGCTGAGTAGCAGTCTAAAAGAAAATCATATGTTAGGGTTCATTAAGAAAGGAATAGAGAATAAAAGAGAGGTCATTGTTATGCCTCTCTATATATCCAAGCTTTGCCCACGTCTTGAACATGAGTTGTAGTTCTGGTCCCTGTCAAAAAGGATATGGTAGATAAGAAAGAAATTGAAAAGATGCAGAGGAAAACAGTGATCAAAGGTGTGAGATGACTTCTATTGGAGATTACTGTGTACGATAGGACTCTTCAATCTGGAAAAAAGAGAAGGCTGTCATGAGATTTGATTGAGATGACAAAATCTGTGACACAGAGATTAAAATAAGGTTTGACACATCCCCACTTCCCTATAGAAGTGCCTGGAGTACATTAATGGATTACGGCCCAATTGAAAAGAAACAAAGAGGTTGCTTCTTGTGCACAGGGCAGTGGATGTGTGGAAATACTTTTTAAAGGAAGTATGGCTGCTAAAGCTTACCTGGCCTTAAAGGAAGTTTGGAAAAGTTTGTGGAAGAGATGTTCGTTGAAGCTTACTAAGTAGAATCTGAGAAACCTTATCTGTCTCATGAAGTCACCAGGTTGAAAATAGCTGGATGCTGTGAGAGTTCTATGGAGAAGTAGCATGTGTTTGCTGTGTTCTTACTCATCTGGAGCCATCTACTCATAGCCACTACTGGAGACAAGGATGCCAAGCCTTTGTCCTGACTAGTATGGTGGTTCTTATGTTTCTTAACATCATGCTCAAAACCAACCTTTAATACTTCTCTGAAGACTTTAGCATAAAAAGTAGAAACCTAATAAGACAATTCCTAATGAGAGGAGTAGTATGCCAGGCAATCAGGATGTCTGAGCAAGGGGTGTGATACACACCTATAAAGAAGGCAGAAACAATCCTACAAAACATGAAGTACTTCCAATAGTTCTGGGAAGTATTCTTGTAATTAAACCTATTCTAAAATATTATACACTGCTCTAGTCTGTATTAACATGCAGTAGGGACTACTAGGACAGTTATAGAAACTGAGTGTCAGTTTTACAAAAAGCATGGGTTTTAATTAAATGAGGGGATGCCGTGGCTGTGTATAAGTGCATCATGGACAGAATGCCAGCAAGGGAAAAGAACTAATCAAGCTAAAGAACAATATTGGCACAAAAGCAGGTGTGTATAAACTGGCCATATGTGAGCTTAGACAGAAAACTGGGGGAATATTTCTTGCCATTTCAGCAACAGAGTTTTGCAGCAGCCCCCCAAGAAATGTAGTGGGGTTAGAAATAGGGGGGAAAAAAGGATGAGGATGCTCTGCTCTCAACATTTAAACTTCTGTAGTTATAGTAAGCTGGTAGAAGTCCAGGAAAGGGTTGCAGAGCTCTCAGTTCCTTGGAATTGCTCAAGGTCTCCAGCTGCTACCTGTGACCTGCTGTGAGGCTCTGCTGTCTGTTTTGTCTCTGCCAGATTTTTGTATTGTTACTTAGCTTTTCTGTGTTCCTGTCACTTCCTGGCCATGGCCTTTCTACCCAGTGATTTGTATCTCATCCATCCTTCTGTTTTCTGATCATAGCCATCTTGTGAGAAGCAAACACTTGCTGTTTAGCCAAAAAACAAACAAACAAACAAAAAAACCACCAAAAAAAAGGAAAAAAGGCAGAGAAAGCAGGGTAAAGGTATAATGCAGATTTTGGGGTGTTTGTTTGCAAGACCAGAAAATAGAAACAGTGACAGCTGTTAACAGCTTGAACAAATTGTTTGTAGTGGTTCTTTACCAAATAAATATGTTAAACCTTTCCCAGTTTTGCCTTATGTTCTTTTCTTCCAAGCTGTTTATTAGTAAAACTGGCAGTGATGGTGACAGATTGATTTTCCACAAAGCCATGTGTGCAAGTATCTTTAGAAAGAATTACCTCTGGTAAAATTCCACTAAACGTATTTTAATGTCTCATAACAAAACTTTACAAGCCTATGTTACCATCAACCAAGAAATTCCCATTTTAGTACATTTATTCATCCAGGCGTTGTAAGAACGATAAATAATATTTTTGTTGTATAGACGGAGTAACTGAGGTACCGCATGAACCTCTTTGAAGTCACACAGTAAAGTTGTCCTAAATCATATTTTACTTGTGTCATATATAGTGCATGGCATCCACAGACAACAAAGTCAGGACACCAAAAGAAGCTGTGCTTGTTCTCTGAACAAAATAGTACAAAAACCTTTGGTTTGGGTTTTGGGTGTGGTGTGGGTTTTTTTTTATTGTTTTGGTTTTTTTTTTTTTGTCTGGATTGAGGGGGGGAAAAAGGTGTTTTATTTGTATATGGTTAGTATGTAATTTCTTCCTAAATTTATGAGCTGTGTAAGCTAACTTTTCTTTTTTTGAAAAGTCTGTGTAGCTGAGTTTCTAATCTGAGCTTTAAAGTTAGTGTAACTTTGCAATATTGCAGGGGAAATGGCCAGGGTTTGGAAGGTAAGTTTAAACTCACACTAATTCTGTAAGGGATTTGTTTTTTCTCAAATACCAGTTTTCTCATCAGTTGAATAGATGAGCACTTACACATCAGCAGGGAGAGCTACTACTCTACTAATGCTACAGGGTTGAAGGAGATGAGATTTGTGTATTAGGAGCTAGTGTGGTTAGCCTGTCAATAGGTTTATCTAAAATATATTTATGGTTGGATTATTGTACCTTTTATTATTTATGTCTATCCTTAAAAAGATAGAAGTTGTTAAAAACACAACCCAAAAAACCACTCAAGGCAAGATCAGGACTACTATACATGAGTGTAGTAGTAGCAGGGAATGAGGTAGCTAAGCAGCACGCAGGGAAGAAACCATCCAGCGCTCCTTTTAGAGCACAGTGTGATTGTTAATGTCAGTGGGTTCAGAGGACTTGGAGGAGGTCTGGGAAGGGGTCTGCTAGTCAGTGATGTGAAGATGCTAATCACTGTCCCTTCACAGGACAAGTGTTGAACAGATGCACCTTGGTGTAATAAAATAAGATATAAAACTGGAGGTGTGTTTTTGGTGCTTAAATTTTAAACACTTTTGTGTCTTTAAAATCAATTTATGTATTTTATGAGTGATATATAGGTGTAAACATGCAGATGATCCACACTTGACCGCTTCAGTTGGTTGCTTTTCCGATGATAAACGGATGGTTTCATTCAGAAGCTTTTTGGAATCAGAGGATTATTAGTACTGCACAGACAGAATAACTCCACATTCTTTAGTGTTGTGTAAGTAATGATTAGCTCGAATAATGATTACTGTGGGTGTATGTAATGTGTGCTGAATATCACCATTGATTTATTCTTCCTGGTACATTTGGTATAGGTGAAAATCTCAGCTAAGCAGAGCTTTTAAAGGAATGTACTTAGACCCTCAACTGATCATTCTGAGCATAGAAGAGAGTAAAAACTGCCCTGCAATACTAAAATGCTAGTAAAACAGGTCTTTTAGGAAAAGCAAAGATCTATCATCTTGTATACCATCGATTTCTATGTATTGATATTTTAGTTCAGACAGTGTTCTTACTGCACCACGCTTCTGTATGCTTGCAGCTTCTTCAACCCAAGTTTATAAATCATGTCAGCTCTTCATTAGCTAATGCGTGTTTACCGGGATTTGAAAATCCGAAATGTCAGGCAAGCATCAGAACTTTCAGAGGTGGGCCAGTGCAAGAACACAGACAAACGCTATGATGAGCAATGATATGATACTGTATCAAAGTGAATCTGGGGGGAGGGATTTGAGAAAACAGGTTACCAAAATGGGATTTATGCTTCTGAAGTCTGTACTACTGTTATTACTATTACAAATATTATCCAAAAAAAAAAAGTTAACAACCCACTTGAAACCGTGTACCTGCATTAGCACCGTACTAGTGCAACAAGTACTGATTCATCAGCTTCTGATTTCTGGTCCTCCTAGCCTCCTCACAGCTCCCTTCGTCTTGCCTAAACCTTTTTTCTCCAAAACAAGGTGACCTCGTCTCAACTAGTTGTGGGCAGTCCCCATCAAAACTGTGTTACCCCAAATTGTGCGGAAGTCCTTTCTTGTGCTGGTTCACAAACAGATTGGTGAGAGTTAGACAAACAGACAAGCTAGACAGCCTTGGCAGCGGCTTTGCCAGGCTGTCTGTGTTTGCCAGTACAGGTGTAGCTGTGGAGTTGCTGAGCTTATTCTTCAGTGTTTTCCAGATTCCTATTGGTCTTTTCCATGATGTCATGGATTGATTGTTGCAAGCCAAATTTGGCAGCTTGTCTGATTTGTCTCATACTACAACAGGGGTAAAGGTGCACAACCATAAAATTCAGTAGCAGAGAAATTCTTTAAGAACATCATTTGCTTGTTAGCTACTAGCAGAGTGCTGCTGTGGCTTGGTACTCACAGATAAGTGAATGCAGCATGCATGTCAAAGTAAAACCACATGAAAAATAGTAAGGCAGGAATAAAGCAGAAAAGTATGTATGATAATGAGGCTTGTGTTAGTGCCTTCGAAGGCACGTGAACACCAGTAGACTGCAGAGGGTTGGAAAGACACACCAGGTCCCCATAGTGAAGTTTTTTGTGTTTTCCTTTGTCAAGAAACCAGTAAAAGTGAGTTTTACAAAGCTTTTGTGCGGTATTTCTGAGTATCTGTAACAGCAGAGCTTGTCATTTTCAGTTCACTGCTCTTTAGCTCTCTTCCTTTTTCACTACTTTTTTTCTTTTCTTGTTTTTCCTCTTAATTTTATTTCCTTAGATCTAACTGGCTAAAGCCGTGCTGTGGGAGACGAGCGGCTGTGTGGCAGGTATTTTTGCTCAGTGCAAGTCTCAACAGTTTCCTGGTAGCCTGTGTAGTATTGGTGGTGATTCTTCTGACTCTGGAACTCCTAATAGATATAAAGCTTCTCCAGTGTGAGTAGGAGGAATTTTTTTTTTTTTTTTTTAATTTTGATGAAATAAAGACTTAACTTGCTGGGAGGTTTTTGAAGGGGGGAGGATCATGGGCATTTTTTTTTTTCCTACCATTTCAATGATTTCTAGGCTAGGTAAGAAATGTGGTTTTGTGGAATCCTGGTATAGTGAAGTCAGTCTCTTCCTTATTTTGCTGACCACATTCCGGATAGGACAAATTGTCAAAAGATACAAGCACAGCGTGCATGTAAGGATCCGCACATATTGCCATTAGAACTTGAAAAGGTCTGTCGCTTACAGACACACTCTGTATACACAGAAGAAAGATCGTTTGGGCATCATTAGTCTTCGATACTTTCCATGTGCATGTGGATAGAAAGAAGTGATAAACTTGCTGGGGTATGTCTGTTAATTTACTTCTACTGGGGTGGGTAGGAATTGAAATTACCGTCTTCTATATTGTAGTGCACTGAAATGATACAGATTTTCATTCTACTTTGCTAATACACTAGGATTTGAATAATAGCTTAAATGGAGTTTTGCTTTATCTGAATTCACTCTACGCAGGTTCCACAATGGAAATTTTAATGCTGTTGTTTTGCTTCCTAATTCAGCTTTTAATTTTCTACTGCTCTTTTCCTCCATTCTTTTTTTTTTTTGTTTGATACAAAGCTGCCATGAACACAATTATCAGCTACATTTTTCCCTGTGCTAAATGTTGAAGAGCAGTCTCTAGCATCTCCATACAATCTCAGATATGTTGAAATGGCAAAGACGGGGTTCAGACAATCCCCTAAATGCAAGAATACATAGCATGAGAGAGTCACGGCCAGGTGTCCTCTACGGCAACTTCAAACTCAGCAATTGAACTTTTTATTCTGTTGAAGTCCTTTTATTTTTGTGATTTGTCAATTGATATTAGTGGAGTTAGATTTCACTGTCAAGATTTAGGTATTGCAATTGTATTAAGGTTACTTTAGGGGACTTTATTGATAACTGCAGCCATTTTATAAACCCTGTAAGATAAATAAATGACTAAGCTGTCTTTCCACACCATTGCCCATGGTTTACACCCCTGTTTGTCCATACTGCACACACTGTGCTGAGCATGGCCACTCTGTTACAGTTCTTATTTTCTGTAGTCTCTGGTGACTTACCACTTTGGATGCAGAAGCACAGAATTTGGACAAGTCTGCTGCTTTCAAAAAAAGTCAGGAATGCTGGTTATGTGTCTAGGTCCTTAAAAACTGAATAAAGAAGAAGCATTCAACAATATTGAGGTGCCAGATCTTTCTCTTTGTGTAGAGAATTGTCCCTTCATGTAGAGCCAAAGAGTTTAAAAACTGTTTCTGTTGATTTCTCATAGACTTTTAACAGTTTTGATGCCTCTCCTCTGGAAGCATCTGCTTTCCTTACCTTATTTTCTGAAGAAACTCCTAAAGAAGGCTTTAAGGATCATTCCTCCTCTATGTGTCTAGCATACGATACTCTTAAAAACTTTGCAGCTTAGGCCTTATGCATGGCATATAGGAGTTTGGTCAAGCCAGCTGATTTCATTGTTCAGAGGCTGCCCCTGCCCGTATGGGTTTTCTCAGAACCTGACAAAGAACCCATTCTGCTCTGTGCTGCTACTTTGCATTTTACTTAATGCATCAACCCATCAGGCTTCTGCTTTTGTTGAATACCTTCTATTTTGTTTTAAATCAGATAAAGGCTATGTTGGTGGGGCTGATATAAGTATTGCAGTTGTGTCATGAGAGGAATGTGTATCACTTACCTTCAGGTTGTAAAAAGCCATTAGGCTGTAATTAGGTTTTTTAAAAAAACGTAATTACAGTTTTTAATGATTCCTTATTCTATATGGAATCAACCAGTGCATTAGGATATGCTATGGCACGTCACTGCCAATTTTGTTCTTAAACCAACTGCTAATCCGCATTATAGACTGTAATTACTTAGGAAGCCTCCTTTTTTTCTTTTTTAAAAGCTGGGGTTTTCTTTGGCAGTGATATTCTGAGAGCATCATTTTCCTTTCATACTTTAGTGAAGTCTTTGGTTGCACTGTGCACTTCTTCCATCCACAAAACTGTCAGTGTCACTGATGGAGACCACATTTGCAAATGTATGGGTCACATCCACGAAAAGCACACAGTCCTTTTAGGGTATTTCAGCACAGACCATATTCATGCCAGAATTAGAAACCCCAGAAAGCAGAGAACATATAATAGGTCTTATTATAGGTCTCTGTCCTATAATCAGCTTTTTTAGTCCTATCTTCAAAGCTCTTCACATGCATTAACAAAGTAATGTCTTAATACCTTGTGATGTTTTGCAAATGCAGAAATAGGTGTGTATTAAGTCACTTGCACCTCATTTTTAGAAAAGAGGGTCACGGCAGGTTCCAACCCCCACTACCCAGAAATATAGACTGTGCTGGCCCTTCCTCCTCTTCAGTAGTTTGGGGAGGAAGCAACTTGAGAAATCATCTTAATATTGCCCTCCTCCTGCAGTCAACTACAGCAGGTGTGTCTGTGGAAGGCATCAGGCCTTCCTCAAAACTGTGACGCTGAAAAACTCCACTCCTGTCCATTTGGTTGCTGGATCAGGGCCCTGTCTGAGTACATGCATAGCTGTGCAAAGAAAACGCCCATTGCAGGGCAGCCGTGCTGCAGTGAGAACAGGTTCAGGGCTTGCCTGAGTATCTGCTCTCTGCATCAGTGCAGTTTGTATCTCCCAGGAAATCAGCATCAAGGGCAACGCTCACCGAAGGCAAGCGCTGGTAGTACAAGCTTCTATAAGGGCCAGTCAGGGTTTGTCAGGATGTATTCTTCATCCCTCTCTTCCCGATACGTATTTTGAGAGATGGGAAAGGGGGAAGAGGTAGATGGAGGTTGGCTGTACTTTGCATTTTATACTGAACCATCTTCCTCATGACTAAAAAGCATCTTGGATTTTCATTCACTTCTTCCCCATGGCACCAGACAAGTAAAATGTGAAGTAAAGCAGAACTTTTTGGCTTTTAGCTATAGCATTGGGGGGAAAAAAAGTTACAAGTAAAACAAATGTGACATTCTGTGCCAAATGAAAGTAGAAGCTGAATGGCATAGTTGTTTTGCCTCAAACTGAATCCCAGTGTTGTGTCTGAACCACCACAGAGCGGGGATGAGCACCTCTTGGAGAAGACCCTTATCCCTCTTTTGTAGCTTTTCACTGCAGTTTTGGAAGAGGCAAATATCCAGATTGAGTGTATGGGGTAGTGATTCAGCTCCTGTACAAAAGCTTCTTGCTTGGAAGGCTTTCTCAAATTTACTGTTTTGCTGGCATTTTAATTGCACACTGACTGGCAGCGCATCCAGTACTCTGCTACAGTTAGTGCGGCATGAGAAATTGATTTTTCTTTCCAAATTCATGATTGCTTTATCTTTTTTGTCCACTAAGGGGCAGCTGGAGCCTTGTATGTCGACAGCTGTTTGAAAAATAGCTTACAGATGGTTTCCATTTCTTGTTCCTTATGCCACCCTGTAAAGACAGTGTCTTGGGAAAGTTAAATATGTTTTTCCCATTTATTTCATTTTTAAGTAGTTTCTATGCTGCACCACGGCAAACCCTCTCTCTCATCAAGCCTCAGCTGAGTCTCTGCTGCGGGAGTCCCAGTGGCAGCCCATAATGTTTTCTTTGTGTCCTGATTTCTTCCTACATCTCTTCCCTCCCCTTCCCTTCCCATTTCAATCAGTTTTAATTTTAAAATAAGATGCTTTATTCAGTGCGTGTGTATGTGTTTTTGAGAGTTAATTCTGCCACAGTCTTCTACCTCTGTGCACATCATCGTCAATTGCCTTAAGCTTTGCTGTTACACAGTAGTTCTTTAAAACTGCAAGGCGCACAGGCTGTTTTAATCTGTCTGCTGGTAGGGATGGTAGACTCACCAATACTGTTAAGACAACTTTTTCTCTTCATTCCCTTATTCCAAACTTGAGAGCATGTGACCTTCAGCGTAGGAGTTGCCAGCAGTTCAGATACTGGACCCTTTCAGCTTTCTACTTTGTGTTGTTGGCAATAAAGGGAACTTTGATCACAGAATTTCAGTTGAACTTACTTATTAAGGAATCCTCCAGATTTCAAGACATTAATTTAAGCCCATGAAGACAATCCATATCACAGAGCTCCCTATGCAGTCTTGCAGCAAACTCATTAGTCAGTCTGAGTTTATTCTGTTTTACTTAAAAGCAAAATGAGTCCATTCAAATGGAAGCCTGATTTATGCCAGTGAGTATCTGTGCAAGGCCTTAGTACTCCGTAAAATCATACTTTTAATGAATTCAGTTAAGTTTCCTGAGTGTTCCTGCCAGTCAGTCCCTGAAAGAACTTTTGTTCAAAGTCATTGCACTTTGAAATTGGAATAACTACCTCAACAATCTGATGCATGAAGAGTACCTGTACAGGAAGTTAGTGTGTAGAATCCAGGGTTTTATAAACTGCCATTTTAACTTACCCTTTACAGACTTCTTTTCATGGAGGAGTTTGAAATGAACATAAGTGATTTTAATGGTCGCTGTCTGTGAAATTTCTTTTGCTTATAAAGGAAAGTGTGTTTTAAGCAATTACTGAAACTGGAATTTTATTTAATTTACTGAGCTTTCTTGAGTATTCTTATAGAAACTTGCTTAAAGACAAAACTACCCATACGACAGCCACATTTCCTGAAATAGACTGTATAGAAGTACGTCACATTTGTCATACAAATTAGAATTGCTTATTATTTCATAAATTCCTTAAATTTAGTATATTAAAGATTTATTCTTATTAACAATTAACAATGACATTGGTTATTTCTGTTGCTTCTCTAACTATAGTTTTCTTAGAGTCAGACTTGCCTCTGAGAGGCATGGGTTTGAGCTAGTCATGGCTGTTCATGCCACATCCAGAGAGCTGTTCAAAAGTCTGCCTATCTAGGTTATTGGTTTAGATGATAGCAATGTATCTGGAAGCCCATTCTGAGCACTAGTTTTTAAACATCTGTTCCAGATAATTACTGATCTTCTGAGCTGAGTTGTAAAAGACTGAACCCAAGGAATTATGTGGGAATGGTAGAGCATGCAGTTTCCTTACAGAATTCTAACTCTGGATTTTCAGGTATACAGGTTTTAGCCACACATCTGCTACTAAAGCAGTGCATGGAGTGAGGGCATGGAGCAGTTACAGTGCATCAAGGACCTAAAATGTGTATGTCAGTGCTTACCAGCAGTCTTACCTGTAAAAGCTCCAATGAACAGCTGCTGCTAACATGCTGGCCTGAATTAGGGTGAGCCGCTGACAGGGTTAGAGTTCCATGTCCCATTACATCCCATCCTTTCTGGTACTTCCATTATAAAATTTAAGAAAGAACGCTTCACCCATATATAAGTTCTAGCAGTACTAATGATATGAAACGTAAGTTGTATTCTGCTACTATAATGATGCTTCATTGTATTGTGTTAATTGCAGTTTCAAGTGCTTCACAGTTTGCAGGAATAATTCACTGGATCAGCCTAGTCATCCTGTCTGTTTTCTTTTCAGAGGTATGTATAATCAAGGTCTCTTACTACACACAGAACTGCAGAGTTTTTATGCTGCCACTGGAATTAGCAAGAGTGTAACAGTAATTTGACTGAATAAATGTAGCACAATGTGCGTTAAGGGGAAAATAAAACCAACAACCAAACACCAAAACAAAAAACAACAGTTGCTGCACCTACTCAGCAAAGTAAAAAAATCTAGTTTAGGTTAGCACTGTTTGTCGGTTGCTTAGAACTGGCAGGGAAACATGGAAGATATGCTCTTAGAAATTATGATTGGAAAACTACAAAAAGAAATAATCATCTCCTAAGCCCTACAGGTACGAGAAAGGACTAGTTTCATCCATTTGTTCTCACAGAAATCTTATCGGTGTTGTTGGGTATAAGGTATAGGAGTAAGACTTATTTTTCAGGAGTAAGATCCACAGCTGGGGTGAGTGGGGTTGTTTGGGTGGTTTTTTTTTTGTTTGGGGGGTTTTTTTGTTCGTTTTTTACAAAACGATCTGTTTTAAGAATGGAATTATTCCCTCTCATCATTTACATAGGTAGTTTAGATGTTCTAGGTTGCTGCCTGTAGTCACAGCAAGAGAATGAAACAAATGGTGAATTTCTTTGCAAAAATTTGTATGAATGTATGCATTGGAAAAGGCTGTAGTCATGGATCAAATTGGGATAATCTGTTACAGTTTTCAACTTTACTCAAAAATAAAAAAGGCATTGGTATTGATATATTTAGACTACTCCTGAAATATCCTCAAATATTTTTAAGGTTAATTTTCCAGGTCATAATGTGCTACTTGTTCAATTAAAAAAAAATCCACAGTTTGTTTGTGAGTTGGAAGACTGCTTGTACTTCAATATTTCAGAATATTCTTCCTAGTTCCATAGGAGAAAATCTTATTATCCAAAGACATGTTGAAGTCTTCACTCTGTGGTAGATTTAGGTGAAGGTTCTAAAAGTATCAGAATTCAAAACCCAGGGAGCTGTGATATCTGCAAATTATTTGATAGATCACTTGTGTTGAATTTGTACTCACATTTCCATGGTTCTATTCATGAAATACATTTATCTACATAAATCACTTTCTGTTACTACTCATAACAGGGATTTTCTAGGTGGTGTTGCCAGACTGTCAGTGAGTACTGAAAGGATTGCTTGATAACAGGCAGGGTCTGAAGACTGCTTTGCATCCTGGTCTTCTGGTGCTGCAGTTCCACAAATAGATACAATTACTTTCCCTATCCTTTGATGGTGATTGTGCATTGTAGGATACATGTAAAGTGACTGAAAAACCATCCAAACTATTAAAAAAAATTTGCAGTCTTTCCTTTTTGAATTGCACATCCTAATTCTTGACATCTCAGGTTTGCTAGATCGAGTCCATTCCCAGTAAAGAATCTTTCTTCAGAGGGGATTAGCACCCTGGAGCTCCCCGTAATCCCGAGCTTCCCATCAGGATCAGCTAGTAACTGTGTTGCTAGCAGCATTGTTGCAGGTGCACACTCAATTGATCTTCATCACTTTCTGCTGCTTGTTTCACAAAAACTCCTGTGGCCTTCAAATTCCTTCTGCTGGGGTGTAGTCTCAAGTTTTGTTTTCATTCACTTAGACCTCCAACCACTCTTCTCAAACCCTGATGTGCAGTGCCTCGCTCCTGTACCCCGTCCATAGTTCAGTTCGCATGCTGACAGTTTTTGAGTGTTTGTGGCAGCACAGGCTCATCTGTCTCGATAAAGAAATGAGTTGTTCCGGTTCTTCTAAGACGGAGTACCCACATGAGGTGGATGAACTGGTTCAGAAGTATTTTGCAAGAAAACAGGAACAGAAATACTTCACAGAGGCAAAACTGGTTGCCTGACTCGCCATGCTCATTTTGGATCCATGTTGGCTTTTCTCCTTCTCTCTGTATTAGGTATTTGTAATTTATCTACTTGCTGCTTTCATTTTTTATAAACCTATAGCCACTCACTTTATCTGTTTCTGTCTTCCAAATTATCTTCCTTCACCTATTTGATTATGGTTTGAATTTACACCAAAGTGAGGTTACAATGCATCTAGGTAAGGTGCACAGTGGAGGGTAGATTTTCTGGATATTGGTTCATTTGGCAGCTCAGACCTTGCCTGGCTTACAGCAACAGAGGTGACTCCACAGAGCAACTGAATGTGAAGACCATGGATCTGGAAGAAAATGAATTTGTACCTTTCCTACGGGGTTTGGCCTTGTGCCAGGTTGGTTTAATGAGCAACAGCACATCTGTTTGTGTTGTTTGTGTTTCCTCTCATGGGATGAAAAACAAAGGGTGTCATTTTTTTCTCATCCAAATCAAAACTTTGATTTTTTTTTTTTGAGAGGTTACAAAGAAGTGCAAGCATTGTAGATCACAGATTTTTTTTTTTTTTTTCAATCCATCTTAATTTTATTTACTCTTGTGGTGCCTTCAGAGGAACTTTTTGCCCTCTGATTCCCAATACCATGAGCCAGCTGTCTTTATTAGGAATTATTGTGTGTGAAAGATTGTGTGTTATAGTCAAATTTTGCAGTCTGTGGCTGTTCATGCCAGGATGATTTTGCAGAGATGAGCAGATTTAATTAGTTTGCTTGGATGTAACAGGCAACTGCCAAGGACTGATTAGTCCTTCAGTCAGTGACTTTTGCCCCAAAAGCAAGGACTCAGGGTTTGTGGTGTTAAGGGTTGTTTCCATAGCAAGTACCGTGTCTTAAGTTTGGATGTGTAGTTTATTCTGTAGTTGGGTTCCTATCGGTTGTAAGTGTGGATGCATAAATTGTGCAGAGGGACCTCAACTCAGAGAACAAATGATATGAAGCTGTAAATGTCTTGTTAAAAACCAGAAAACTTTCAGCACAAAATCTGAGTGTTTTGGAAAAATACGCCTGATTAAAAGCTGGCGCTATAAAAGTGTTGCAAGTAATTACAGTGCTCTCACATTAGGGTTAAACAGGCACTGGCTTTCTGCTTGGTTAAAATGAAGGGGACAAACATGCCAACAGCTGGCAGATGCTAGGAGAACAGCTGCCAAGAAAATTGAGTTGCTACTCTCACAGCATGTTCCTGCTCTCCCTACACTTGTGTTATAGCTACAAGCCTTAAAGGAATTTATTTCACTCAGTTAATTTTATATTTTCTGTCACTGTCTGTGACTTTCCACATTAAAATGTTGTTATTCAAGTGAAGTGCACATCAGCTCTTTTTGCCTTTTTCCAAGTATTTGAACAGGATTTACTAGTGGTGATGATTGTGTATGTTTGTCTCTGTTTACATACATCACTATGATTTGTCTGTGCACCAAATGTTACCCAGATGTTAAGACAGAAGAGAAGAGAAAGACACTGGGGGTTGAAACCCCAGTACCAACAGCAAGGCAAGGCTGGGGTTACACCCTATCAAGAGAGCAAATTCAGCCTTGGTAATAGTTGGCTGAGAAAAGGACGATGGGGCATGTCACAGTGTTTTGGTAAGTGGATTGGAGTCTGCTTATATTTGAATAGTTTTATCACATTGCCACAAATATTTGATTCTGTAGCTGTTGTTCAGTTCTTTTTTTCCAGTAGGATTGAGACTGTTTGCGTGCAAGATTTGAGTCCTTTGATATTAGTTGTTTGCGTTGCTCTGTATGTGCTTCAGTCAGCCAAGCACTCAGGCATTCTGCTAGCTTTCAGCACTTCAGGTGTTTCCCTGGGAGTAACCAAGTCTTCTGATGTGCTTCAAGTTAGGCAGTCATGGAATTGCGAGTTTCTTTGTGCATCTGTGTCCAAAAAATGAGTTCTCAAATGGAGTACAGTAAGTCTGAGGTCCTAGCTGATGAAGCTTTTGTTTCATTAGCTACAGCTCACAAGTGCATTTTAGATTTTCACCTTTGGGAAGAAAAAAAAATATCTAAGATTTTCTTTATCTTAGGAAGCATTCAGAGTGGTCTGACACTTTGCTCCTTTTTAATAACAGTCCTTGGAAGGAATAAATCCTACTAAGGAAAACCCTACTTCTGGGGTTCTGTTACAAAGCAAAAGCATCCCAAATGACAGAACTAAGAGGAAATAACATCCTTCCCATATAGTTTTTTCATAACAAATTCATGATTTTATATTAGAGGAATCAGTTATGTTATTTTTGTTACATTTTTTGCAAGCTTGAAGTGTCTGAGTAGAAAGATAATCTTCTGTTAATTCTGTAATTCCTCAGAAGATATGGCTTCTTTATGGGATGTTTGCTTTCATTCCACGTGCACACAACTTTTCTCATGGTGCATAAATGCACTGCATTGCTGGTTTTGCATGTTTTGATTTTTAAAGGGATGATTAGGAGCCTAGTTATGGGGTTTGTACGTTAATACAATTTATAAAGATTAATTTAAGCTTCTTTTTTTGCTGGTGTGTTTAAAAAAAAAAAAAACACCACACCAGAATCTTTGGTGGTTTGTTGTGTGTTGTTGGTTTTTCTTTTTTTTTCCCTAACTACTTTTCTTGCTTCACAAAAAAGGTAGTTACCAGTAAAAATGGTCTTGTAGTGCTCTAGGAATTTAGCAAGGCACCTTCCTGGAATTCCAGTCTGCCCGTTTCATTTCCAAGAATATATCTGACTTACATGGTGCACTTTATAAGTGCTTCCTCTGTGCTTCCATCTCTCTGATAGTAAGTCCAGCCCCTTCTACACCATGCATTTCAAAGATAAGAATTAACTCTAGTGTAATCATGCCCAGGAGGAACTTCTGATGCAAGGTAGCTTGAGACCACTTTTTCTGTCCAATCTGCATTTACCTTATGGTAGTATACTGTGTCTCTAGTAAGTTATTTCTATTCCTGAAAAGCTCTTTCAAATCTATCCAGTTACTGGTTTAAAATGCATTCATTTTCTCAATATTAGTAGGACACACATTATGGGAGACCACAAGAACAAATGTAACTGCAGTGCTTACATAAAGGTACATTTGGATACTATCTATCATAACAGAGTATTAGTGGTAGTCGGTGGAAAAGAATGTACTGTGTGTGTGTCTGTTAGTGTCATCACGCTTTTGCAGTTAGTTATTTCTGTGTAACCCGGTGTGCCAATAGAGCTGCAGCAGTTAGAGTGCGATACACGGGGAGTGTTCTCTACTGGGTAACATGAGAGGCGAGGTCAGTAGTTACACGTTTCTTTTCAGAGCCTTGATGGAAGAGAACCATGTAAGGAGGATGCCACTGCACTGGGAACAGAAGGGCGTCTCAGTTGTACCCCCGTGCGCTGATGGCCAGGGGGTAGTGTGTGCTAGAGCAGCTAATGCAGTTTCTCAAGGCCAGGCACACCAGAAGATGGCAAAAGAAGATTCTGTGAAGTAGTGAATGAGCTAATGCCCTTGTGGATAGACTCAAAGCAGAGAGGTGTTAAATTACAGATTGTGTACAAGGTGTTCTTTCTGGGAAAGATTTCAATAAGTATTTGGTCTTACAAGATGTATCCAAAAGGCAGAAGCTTAATCTTCATAGTTTCTGTACAAATCAGAGGTCAAGTCCATCTAACAGAGATTTGTTTTGTGGCAGTGGAAGGAAGGCTTTTCTGAGGACACCTTTTGCACCCTGCCTATCTCTTGTGCAGTCACTACCCCATCTCAAAATGCAGAGTTGCTCACCTCTGCTGTTAGCTAAACCTGGTGGGCCAGCTTCACCTTCTGTGCTGCCTCCTTTTGATTCCTTTACACTGTGAATGAATTTGGCACAGCGAGTCACTGAGTAGTAAATTGCATATTAACTGTGCAAGCAAAAAAGTCCTTTAAATTACCTAATGTGCATTGCAGTCAGCTGACAACTGTAGCTAGCTCATGCAGATTGTGGGAATTCACATGGCTGGCTCAGCGAAGGACTTGGCCAGGGTTCCCTACAAAATTAGAAAACCTGCAGCATCACACAGTTCTTCATAAACCTCACTGCAGACAGTTAATGCTGTGCAAATAACTGTGTTGCCAAGGGACACAGTCAACTTCAAAATTACATTTCTGTCTGAAAAATGGCTTAGATTTTACTTTTATCTGGATTTACTCCACTTAAAGAAGTCAACAGAAGTGTTCAGTCATTTACCTTTTATTAGTGCACTGGACAGACTTTTATGTTGTAATTTAGTTTTTCTAAGAAAATGAAAATGCATTTGTTGCATAACTAAGAAAATACGTGTGAAGGACTTTCTGATCAAAAGATTTCCAGTCAAGAAAAGTTAAAGCATTCTTTTTCGAGTACAAAAAACCAAGCTGACAGTGGCCTTTAAGAAAAGTACAGAACAGTACAGAAAAGTACTCATGCTAATATTTAGTGTTTGCTTTCAATTCTATGTGTCCAAAAATGCAGAATGCCTGTAGTGTAATGCAAAGCTGTGTATGCAGTTGCTGCAGTGCTGAAAGATGCCTGCATATCAGTAGGAAATGGCAGTGCTGCTCTATTTTTTTTCCCCTATTTCTTGTGGATTCTTCTGTCTACAAATGGTGGAGTTGTGAATAGTATTTGTTTTGTCTGTGGTGAATGTTACAGTTCTAAATCTCTTTTAATTAACAGCATTTTTCAGTTTTGTCCATGTACAGTGTGTAGGAAGTTTTTCTGGATTATTTATTTCTGTCTCTATTTTTCAGATTCTGCTATGGATTCTCATTTTTTAAATTCTGTACAGAGAAAGTACACAATCTAATGTGCGTCTGTTTGAAAGATATTTCTGATTGCTTATGAAAAATAGTAAAATGTTGGGAGACTTGCCCAGTCAAATCCAAATTTGCTTGGTTCAGACTCTCTGGGCAAGAGTTATGGCAGCAGCAGTGGATGTGATCCTGTGCTTTGTGCAGAGGGAGGGAGAGAAAGCTACACCTAGCCTGGAGTTGCCATGAGTGAAGACTAGCCAGGGGGCAGTAAGCCTGCGGCATCTGCGTCTCCAGACGCATGCAGTCTGTGACTCACTCATGGTACTTTCCTGGGGCACCCAGTTCCTCCAAGGCACCAAGGAAAAGCCGCCTTACGTGGCTTTTGTAACTTTAGTGGTGATGTGGGGTTTTTGGTTGAGTGACAAGCTGGCAGGTAATGCTGGTGCATAGCCTTACAACCTTCCATAAGAACAAATGCTTTGAAAGCTTGACCCTCAGTTGTGCCCAGTTTTTTCTGAAGAGTGTCTCTCAGACAGGGAGCTGGGTTCATTCTGCCCTCACGACTTTCTTTCCTACAGGGTGTCTGGTGTGTCTGCTCTAGCTGAAAGCTAAGATGGTAATCATCAACACAGTTTTTATGAGGAGGAGACCTATCTTCTAGAGGTAGCACCAACAATCATTACCGCATCAAATGTCTGCCAAGTAGACTTCCAGTCATTGCTGACGTGTGCTGATTCACACCAGCAGACTGAAAATGAAAACATTTGTGCTAGCTTCCAGCCTGTGAAACTGCTCAGACCCATTAATATGACAGTAGCACAGTCTGATTTAAACACTACAGTGAGGAATTGAAAAGGCAGAAAGGAAAATCCTTTCTGATGTTCCCTCAACAGCCCCATATTAAATTATACTTAGGGTTGTGAGACAGTTTCTGAGGTTCTTTTTGTGCAGATATGCCTTATTATTTAAGTGCAAATACCTCTGTACACACCTGTCCAAAGAAAGAAAGATTTTCACCCTCAGTTACTGTAAACGTGTTAAGTGTTCAGCCATGCTTTACTTGCTCATTGACCTAGCACTTCATAAATGCTGCCTAGGCATAGAAGAAAACGTGCCTGATCTCTATGCTGTCAGCAGGGTTGATGTGGGAAGAGTAGCATCCTAAGCTTTGAAAGAGGCACTGCTCATGCATTTCCCAATGGTTGCCTGCTGTGGAACTTGCTGTGGTGGACCCCCAGTTAATATATATAGCTGAATCTATGGGCTCATGAGTGACTTGTACGTAAGCATTTTGTGCAGCTTCTCGATGGGGAGTGAGGGAGGTGCTTACAGAGGAGCTGGGATGCTTTTGTCTGAAAGCATTCCGCTCAGGGCCTGAGTTGAGGCTGCAGGAGCACCTTGGTTGCACAGCAGCATGAGTACTTACACCTTGTGCTTATATCACATCACATTGTGCTGTTGAACTTGGAGTCATTAAGGGATCTGTGGAGCTGCTGTTGGGCATCTCTTCCTCCACATATAAATGTCAAGAATATAGGTTAATAAGGAAATTGCTGTGAATAACCTTATTCCAATGCTGCATTTGTAAAATACTTTGGAAATAAAATGTTGTTTTTAGGAGTAGACCAGTAGCATTACCAGTTCTTGGTGTCTACATAGAGCCTCACAATTTTTTGTAGAGGAAATAGCGTGCTGCATTTTCTCTTCCGGCTAGTGACTCTCTTTCTCAGCCAGACTTGGCCAGTACTTCACATACACCACTTCTGACTAAGCATTGGCCAGTTCACTTTCCTGCTCATGGACGGTATGAGGCTGGGCTCTGAAAGCACCCGATCTCCCACAGCAATGTCCTCCTCTGCTAAACAGGATTAAGTGCTGTTATCCAGGGTTGGAGTGCCAAGACAGAGCTCAGCACAGTCATCCCAGGCCAAGTGAGGCAACTGGGCTCCTGGGGTTTGGCAAAACCATGTGTAGGAACAATACTGAAAAATCCAGTGTTGTTCTGCAGTTAGTTAATGCTGCTATGTTTGGTATAAATTCAGGGTTGTTTGGTATTTGTAATGAAGAGGAGAGGTACATATATTCATCAGTCACTTTTTCTGCACAGCTCTTGGCATGATCACCCCTTGCACGCAGGCCTGCTGAGCTCTCTGTCATTAGTACTATTCTTCAGTGGAGAAAGTAGCGTTTTGATTTTAGCAAGGCATACAGCTGCAGTTAGATTCTTCATGTCTGTAGTGTCTGTCAAAATCTGACCTTGATGTTGCTATTGGCAGAAAATGCCTCTACCATTCTGCTTTTATGTGAATTCAGTTTGTCAGGGGAGTTGGTTGATGGATATTTTTTTTTTAATCTTAATTGCATCTTCTGAAAGCTGGGTTAAAAGTTAGTAAAGAAGCCACTGGATTTTTTAATGGGAATTCACCATTGGTTCATTCTGTGTTCTTTCTTTATCCTCTTTTCTAGCTACCTATGCTACTTACAGCTGTTTTGTTTAATAGAGGAGGATCACAGAGATATTTTTCTCCCTTATACTATGATTGGCTAAGATTTTATAATAAGACAACAGCCCTTTAACTCCAGAGAGGGAGAATAAGAGCCTCTGCTCTTCAGACTGATGAAATGTCAATATCTTCAGGTGTCAGAGGCAATGCCTTATTTCTTTTCTTGGAAAATAGTAAGAACTGGCGTATCAAAGATGACAAGAAAAGATATTCTTCCCCCATTCCAACTGAGGGAGCCCCACAGTGGATCTTATATAGGCTTGGGTTAGGGGGCTGGGATGGGGAGAGTTGGTAATCTAAATCTCCCAAGTTGAAAAGAGAAATTTTAGGAGGATGGAAAGACTGATGAACATTTGAACTTGGGACTTGTTTATGGATGTTTCACTGAATCAATACAGTGGTTTGAAAGCAATACCTGCTTTTACAATACAGAAGTGTAGCTATTTCTACATCCTCATTATTCAGAAGAAATGCATAATGCTTAAATAAGACAAAAAATGAACCCCTAAATAGATAAATGACTAAATGTTTATCTGAAATTACAATAACATTAATCATCTTCCTCCCCTAATCTATTTTACCAGACTGTTTTGAGGATTGTGGTCCTTGGCATATGGGATTACATTGAAAACAAAATAGAGGTAAGCACTCTTGGTGTTTGTACTGTTTTCCAGGCAGACATAGTAAGAATATTAAAAACTGCTTGGGGGGGCTTTGTTCTAGACTTGATGCAATACAGTATCTTTTAACACTGTTAAATACATACATTCTTCTCATTGTATGCACGTATACGTACCTGTATGATGCAGTCCCTTTAGCCTGTGAGAGACTTAAGAGTGTGGTATTTGGAAATACTTCATTAAAGAAGGGGTTGGGGGGGAGGGGTGTCTCTATGTGTGTGTTTATTTTGTTCTTATAGCTATGCTAGGCTAGCTGTTGATACTGCTACCCTGAGATAATGAGCAATACGAGTAAAAATTGTCACGTGTAACCCTATTCCCATAACTGAGTTGAAATTAGAATTTCCTGTAAAGCTGTGTGCAGTTTTTGGATAGAAAATACTGGTTTGGCACAACCCCCAGCTTTATTGTGAAATTATTTTTTAAATAAATTGAATTCAAAGTGCTGTAATTTGTATCACAGATTAAAAATTAGGTAGAATGTTTATACTGTTGCAGAGAGAGATAAGGAAGTGCATGTGTTTATAAGTAACACAAAATCCCAATCTGAGCAGAAATCTGGAGATCGGGGAAATTTAAAAGCTCTTTCTTGATACTGTCGGATAAACTAATATTGCAGAGGATGCATCAGAAGAAAATCTGGGTTTTCTTGGAGTTGAAGTGATTCTAGAGGCTTGCACATTTTTGTAATAAAGTTGTAAAGCTTTTAACTTTTTTTGCTAAAAAACTAAGGTGAAAACTAAATTACTGATTCAGAGTTTCTTATTATTAAGGCTAAATGCAGCAGTTTCTGGTAATTTATTTTGCTCATTTGTAGTGGGGTGATATTGTTCACTGTCTATCAGGTGGTGGCAGTGTCTCTTTTCAGTACACTGAATTGTTTAGCACAATTCTGAATGTGTGGTGCCTATAATAATCTGTCTTGCCTCCTTATGCAAACCATTAATCCTGTGGCCTTTGGCAGCTGGGAAGGGTCTCAGTAGGACTGAGACCCTGGTATTCTGTTCTACCCTGCTAGGCAAGTGTAGGACAGGCACAACACTATTGCATCTATGTACTCATGTATTTCTGTCTAATACTTTGACAATTGCCTTTTCTGATGTAATCCACAATGCGACCAATGTCATACAAATCATTCTGAATAGTCCCAGTTGTCAAAACCCTTGAAAACCTAACTGCTCAATAAAGGTGAGAACAGGGAGCCGTTCTGTCTTGATGCACGGCTGTTCCCACACAGGTCGTGTAGTCAGGACGTGGCCAAGAGCCATCAAGCCTTTTTGCTCCATCTTTTTCTACTTGTCTTCTTGATCTCTTCATTTAGACATCAAGATCTATGGGCAGGGACTGAATCCCTTTTTTGGGATGGCATTATGCCAAGTAACAGGTAATAAATACCAATGATAATAAAACTCTTTGGCTGTAATAGCATTCAGGCTATCACTTCTACTTGGGGATCTTGGCCAGCATTTCCAAATATCTTTCTCCCTGCTATCCCACCACAGTTTATCTCTCCTCACCTCATAAAATGCAGTAAGGAATTCTGTTGTGCTACCTACAAAGGATGCAGGCTTAGCTGCACCTTGACCACCTCTCACATCCCTTTCAAATACGTACCATAATTGCATTTCTTTGGGCAGAGTGGGAGCCCTACAAGACCCCAGGCAGGAATGGCAGGGTTATGAGCTTTAGGAAGGATTTGAAAAAAATTTATTTCTTTCTAGGTGTTTGATGGTGCTGTCATAATCTTGTCCTTGGCACCAATGGTGGCCTCAACAGTGGCTAACGGCCCCAGCAGCCCCTGGGATGCTATCAGCCTTATTATCACGCTACGAATATGGAGAGTGAAGAGGATCATTGATGGTGAGTGGTGATTCGGTTTTGACTCCAAGAATGACTGGGCAGGCTAGGAAAGAGGAGATTTTAAAAAATATTAAAAGATTACTTTCCTCCACTGTTTCTATTGTTCTCCTTCCTCTTACATTTTAAAAGTACTGAACAGAGAAAAAGCACTCTCCATGGAGGAGAGTAGTTCTCAAGTTCATGGCTGTGCCTGCTGTTCCCTATGAGCCTTTAAACTGATGGGGTTTTTTCCTGTTAGGCACCTTCACATCCCTTACCCTGTAAAGTAAATGCCCTGCCCTGCTTCCTGTCTCTTGTCTCCAGATGTCATTCCTGATTCTGCAAACTAATTGCTTCCAATCTGCTTTTGTGGTGTTTGCACCCTCCCCATTTCCATACATCTATGTCTTGGGGCTTTCTTTCCCAAGTTCTTGTCTGTAATACAGTTTTTATGTCAGATCCAGGAGCATTTTCTTACCATGGGGATTCCATCCTGAAGGTGCCCTCTGCAATGCCGGTGTGTTGTGCAGCATAATGAAGAAGTGTGTGTCAGTACTGTTTTGCACAGACTAGGGAAGCACCAGGGGAGATAAGAGAGCCCCAGCAAGTCTGAGTTGCAGAGAGCAGAACCAGTGACTATGCCAGAAGCAAGGATTTCAGCGCAGCCTACTTTGTGTTCAGTGGATTCAGGCATTTCAGGAAACAGGGAAGAGACATGGAAAAGGAATAAATGAAGGATCACTTTGCTCATGTGTGAAAGATCAGAGTAAAGTTGTTATTTTGGCTTTAGATGCCCAGGAAACTGTAATCAGAGTTGAGGAAAGGTCATAGCTCTCTGGTGTTCAGAATACCTATTGGAAACAGGGCTGTAGCTTGAAAAGCAATAGGAGATAAAAGCCTTTTTGTTTAAAGTATCCTTCTTAGTCTGCTGTTTCCATTAAGGACTTATTTCTTACCAGAAAGCCCAGGAATTAAATACTTAGGGGTCTGGAATAGTTCTTTTCCTGAGGGAGCCATGCTGTTCAGGTTTAGAGGGGATGGGCCCTAACTCTAAGCAGAAAATCCTCCTACGCAGCAATTCAGGAAATCTGTGGTGAACACCAGTAAAAGATCTGTATTAGTGGAGCAGAAACTAGGAAGAGCATGCGGGATGTATTTCAGCTCAGCCAAGCAAATCAACATCTGACCAAACAAGATCTAGACCCTGCTGATGACCTGCATTTCAAATGTTAGAAATTCTTCCTCAGAAGAAAAACACTAGTGCCATTTCTATAAAAAATACTCTAGTTGTGTAGATGTGAGTGAAAGGGGTGACATTCTCTGGCATGTAAAGGTTTACCCTCTGATTAAAAAAAAAAAAATCCAGCTGGGTTACTTTAAGTGCTTATTTGTGTTTTCCAGCCTATGTCCTTCCAGTGAAAGCGGAGATGGAGATGATGATTCAGCAGTATGAGAAGGCAAAGGTTATTCAAGATGAGCAGCTGGAAAGACTAACCCAGATCTGCCAAGAACAAGGGGTAAAGTTCAGTTATGTCTTTATTTACACATAGCTTGTCATGGCAAGTCAGTTTGTGTGCATTACTGCAAGCTAGGGTTTGAGAATTATCACTAGGACTTCTGTTGTAAGGTGACAGGTCTCAGTGCCAAGGAAGTATTGGTTGCACCCAGGATGTTGTCAGCCTGCTATTTGTCAAACAGTAGTTGTCTGCCTCTGCCGCTGTCCTTGTGTTTTTTAGGGTGAGGAATGGGAAAAGAATACTTCCAACGTGTCATTTGTTGAACGAGTACAGATAACATGCAGAAGTCACTGATGTTGTTGGAGACTGCAGCTATATTAAGGCCGTATTCCTAGGAAAAGTATATGCAGTTGAAAGCTAATGAATCTCCCTACTTTAAATGCAGAAGGCAGCTTCCCTGTAGGTCCGTCAAACTCTTTGGCAGACTCAAAAGTGTTGCAACAGAAACTTCTAGTTGCTGGAAGGAAGTTAAGATTTAAGACTCTTCCCAGGCCCTCAAATGTTCAGTGACTTAATCACAGTTAGGGAAGGTGAAGCTTAAAATATCTGAAATGAATATATTTATGAAAAAGGTGTAAAACCACTGATTGGGCAGTGAGCCAGGAGGTTTTGCGTTTGTCTCATGCAAATGAGTTGTTGAATAACCTGCCTTAAAGCAGAAACTGGAGATGGATGTTGAGGCCTAGGCTAAGTGGGGCATTCAGGTGGCCATCAACCCACAGCAGAAGGATCCCCCAAGTGACTGACTTGGTTTCAGTTGTGATGGTAACTATGAGGTGTCCCAATAAAGCCTGGAGGTTTCTAGCTTCAACTCCCCACTTGTAGTAGCTGCTTTTAAAATACAAAATGGGAAGACCTATAAGTCTGAATGGCTCAATCAGTCAAAAAGTTGAAGGACCTGAGCAGACAAGAGGAGGGGCAACTTGTCCCAGAACAGACCAACTGCCCAAAAGGTGCATAATCTGAAGCAGGGATTTCTGTGCCCGTCCTTTACCGAGAAACCCAAAATACTTGTGAAACCATCAGTATTTAAATCCCGCAAATGGCTTTTAAGATTTAGTTTTCAGGTCTCCTGGATCTCAGCCTCGGAATCTGCAATGAACTCTTGGTGTTAGGTTGCCTTGTCTATGTGATGAATTCAGAAGACCTGTTGGCCAGTGCGTGTCATTTCGTAACACTGGTTTTGACAGTTTCTCACGTCAGCCATAGCAATTTTCTAAATCTTAAGCTTGACTTTTGCCAAAAATTAGTTGCTTCCAACTATGTGAGTATCTTCAGTGGCAAAACTTCAGTCCTCTTCATCACAACTTCACGCAGTGATACTGCTTAATGCTTCTGTCATAGTTGTGAAATGAACAGGGTAATTGTATATACCCCATTTTACAGGAGTGAGACTAGCATTTGACCTAATGCATTAGGCAAATCAGCCATTTCTTGAGTCCCGTGCAGTATTTTGTCTGTCATACCATGCTGTTAGGCTAAAGTTCTTGACGGTCGCAAATTTGAAAAAGTTCATTTTTAGGAAATGTATTATGCAACCAGATAACACTCTTGATTTTTAACAATTTTTGGTGTTATTATTTCATGGTCTTTGAGTAAAGATGGGCTTGGTATCCCAAGCGGGGTTCCTCATCCATGTACTCCTTATCTGCATGCAAAATGCCTGAGCGTTGTAGCACTGATCTGAGCTCTGATGGTTACAGCGTAGCTGTACATGGAGCACAGAGAAATAACCGCATTGGTGGATGAGTAAATCTGTGGGAACAGAGCAGGTTCTCTCCTAGCTTTCAAGTGTCACCAGCTATGAAAAAATATGGACTATAGAAAAATGACAGCATACTAATCCCTCTTATTTTACTGTCCTGACTTGCTGCCAAACAACGTTTTGGCTGTATAATATGAGGTAAATGTACTAATTTGCCTCAGTTAGCAACGTAAGACATTGACACAAGTACTGCATCCTTCCTTCGTAAATTAATAGCTTCATAATTCAGTGAAGAACAAGTTGTCAGCATTATAATATTCACATTAACATTGTGTACAGTATCTGGTAGGAAAAATGGTTCCTAATGTTATTTAATGTCTAAAATTCTGCCAGGTTTTTGCTTTTTTGTTTGGTCATCTTTCCTGGCCTTTTTAAAGGATTGCTTCTTTCATCGAGTTTAAGTGTGTATGCTTGTGTCTTCGAGCGCAGGGTTGCCTACAGTAAGTAGTCTGGCCGTTGTCAAATTTGGAGTGCTGGCAGGGAGGGATTCCAGTTTGCCTTGTCTGTGTGGTACCATCTCTGGCATGGGCAGATGGGGGAGCTGCCCATAGGGGTTGACCTGTTGCCTCACGTATGCGCTGGGGCACACTAGTGCCAGCCCAGGAAGGAAGAACATACTGATTCATCCTGATGCTGCATCTTTGTGACCACCCTGGTGATTTGCATTTATTTACTAATTATGGGCAGGGCTGAAAATATTCCTGTTGGATTTCTCAGCCCTTCCTTTTCTGAGATCCTGTGTTCAGTTTCTTACTGCTTTGCCTCATGTCAGGTAATCGGGATTGACGTCCTCAAGGTCTGGCATCTTCTGCAGTTGAAATTCTGTTGAAAATTTCAGACGAAATATACATTCTTTCTGGAGAGGAATTGGGGAAAAAAAAAAATAGCCTGTTTTGTTCAGGATTTAAAGCAAAAATAACCGGTGGCCAGTTCTCTGAGAAGTCGCATGGCCTGCTGTTTTGAAGCTGATACTTAATACTTGACAGGCAAAAAAGCAGTTCCTGCTTTAAAAAACAAAAGCAGGGAAGATACAACCTCCCTTCATCTTACTTTTTGAATTCTGTTTCTTTTGTCAGTTGTTTTTTTTTTTTTTTTTTAGCCAGTGATAGGGTATCACAACTATAAAGTACATTTCCATTCCTGAATGACATGGGAGACGTACTTTTGCAAACATGAAAACTCTTTCCAGATGTTGATTTTTGGCTAGCCATACATCTGAAAACCAGAATATATTTTGTAAATTATAGTTGCACGGACCACCACTTTGTTCTCTGTAGTACCCCACTGAAACTGTTTGAATAGTTTGCCGTTTTATTTATTCTCCATTGGCCAAGAAAGAAGTCATTAAAAGGGAGTGGAGCATGAGGGCAGGCAAGGCAGAAAATACTGAAAGGGCTATACAGGACTCACAAAACATGAGGAATGTTAACGATCACTGTGGCAGGGATTTCTAAAAATGGATAACTACTGCAATTAGTACCAAAACAGAGTGTATGGCTGATGGTATCAGAATAACGTACCTTAAATTGCAAAAAAAGTTCCAAAGTTTCATTAACAATGCAAATTCCAGTCAGGGAAGATTACTTTTTCCTCTGGAATGACCTGTAAAGGAATTTTCATTTCTGATAATAGATCTACTTACATGATCTTTTCTGCTTAACTGTCATAAGAGTCATCCAGCTGAGTACAGACCAGCCAAAATTATGTGTTCAGCCTTATCACGAGAGCTCCCCTTCTGTCAGCTCCTATAGAATTGGGTTTTTCATCATTCTCAAAGCTGTAACAACTATGGAAGCTATAATTTCTATTTTATCTTGGAATATAATTTGTACAACAGCTGCTAGCTTAATGACAGGGCTATTTAGCCGGTAAAATTACCTATTGGAGAAATAACTTATGTTATCCTTTTGCAATAATTTTAATTTATTTCTAACTACCAGTCATTTTCTTGGTAAATGGAAGGCAGCCAAGGTCATCTCGTGTTTCATTCTGCCCATAAATCATTGGTTTGCAACTGTCTCATGATTTTTATTGTTACCAACAATGGCTAAACTAATGGAAATAAACATTGGATTGTATCCCAGTGGCAGATGAGTTTTAGGGCAGGGCATTCTGTGCAGACAGCACTAATAGAATTGAGCAAAGTTATTGCTCCTGCATTAGACACGAGTAAGCTTCTGGCTAAAATGTTCATTGATCTCTCTGAGACTGTGTCAGTCATCCTCTGTTGCTAGACCATTAAAGGGGAGTACTATATGAATCACTGCTAAGTCCCTTTTTGAGTCTTATATGCATGTTGTAAAATGTCAGATGGGGTGGGTGGCATGTTTTATAAAGCCAGGCGTGTAAACTGAGATGTTACCTAGAGCGCTGGGTAGGTCTCTGTCATTCTACCTGCTTATAAATAACCACCTAACGCATTCCTTTGGCGGGGTAGCGTGCAGGTGTGCCCTGTAGTTCTTTCTTGTTTGTTTCCTGACCAAATATTGCTAAGTTTGTACTACAAGAGGATGCATAACAAATCTTGAAAACACTAAGTTTAAATTTACCATCAATGAATCTTCTCTTCATACCTGACCACCTAGTTCGTTACTCATTCTTATGTGAGAGGTGTGGATCTCCCTTTCTTTTGGTACTGAGTGTATTTTCACATCAGCCCTGTGTATTACATGTAAATTGCTGTCTTCAACTCCCTCGTGGGAGGGTCTAGCTAGGCTCTTCTCAGAAGTGGACAGTGACAGTGCACAAGCTTGGAACGTGCAAAATTCCTGTTAAATATAAGAACAAACGTCTTCTCTGGAACAGTAACACACTGGAGCAGATTGCCAGGCAGGTTGGGATGCAAACAACATTGGAGATTTTTAGAACTTTACAGGACAGGCTTTTAACAACCTGAGCTAGGTGGACTTGCTAAAGCAAGGGTGTTGGACTGGATGACCCTCGCAGGTCCGTTTCAGACCAGATTATGCTGTGAAACTGTGAAGTTCCCAAATATATTTTTTCCATTACAAAGTATGTTAGGAATTTATTGATAAAGAAACCCACCAGAAGCTACCAAGGTATATGTAATTAAAGATAACGAGTATCATAGGTGTCCTGGTAAATAATGTCAGTAGCAGTCTCATGTGGACCAGTGCGCGGTTTGGAATTATCTTCAGTCAGGAGATGGTTTACTTTAGTCTCCTTGGTCGCAACAAGTTATCTTCCACCCAGCAGCATTATTTACCCACTGGCTCTCTCTGGGATTTACGAGGTCTTTAACACAGAACTGATAGCTGTGAGTTGTCTTAATTTAAACAAATCAAAGCATGTGTGTAACTTTGTATGCCTTTTTTTCTTTTCCTCATGATATGCATAATGTACATTCCTCCTTATGGACTGAAGGAAGGGTGGTCTACCTGAAAATAGGAGACATGGTTTTCACAGCACAGCTCTCCTGCGGCACTCTGTATTAGAGGCTCAGGTCTACATTCAGATAGCTACATCAGCCCCTACTGCAAATAGAAATTTCATGTGTTTAACCTGGCCCAGAATTTTTACTTAAAAAGACTGTTATATTTTATACCTTTTAATGATTTATTTAACCTGCCCTGGACTGCATGACATGCAGTCAGAGCAATCTCATTAGCTCTTTTACACATTAGAACTGCCCGAGGTCAGTGTTCAATATAATGTTCAATAGATACAAGCACCTACAACATAATTTCCTCATGCAGTCTCTCATTGAATTACACCTGTAAGGAACATGCACTTCTCTTACACCTAACCTTTGTTTTCAGTGGGTTGCTTTTAGTGGCCAAAACTGTATTACAGCTTCTATGATATCTTGGGATAATTTTGAAGTAATAATTGGAGACAATTAATATTGAACTGATCTCCTGAGGAGAGGCATACCTTTTGTGAGCAAGAATCTGTTTCTTGTTTAACTTTTCCTAGATATGTTATTGAATTTCCTTTCATTTTCTTAAAACAATCCTTACGATAAATGGCGATTTTTTTCCTTCCTACGCAGTCCCTTTTTGAAAGTTGCTAGAGAGGAAGAGAGTTTAGGTGTGCATTTGGAAGCTGTGTACTGAGTTGGGTTTTGGCTGTGTCTCAGGCTGTCTGTAGCAGTTAGGGCTCTGCATCTCTGCGGGACATGCATGGATCACTTTGCATCAGTAACAGTGGATGTGGGAGTGAGACAAACACCATTATTGCAATGAGTATGTTCTTCTCTGTCAATGAAAAAATGAGTTACACAACAGTATTTGATTCTAGCTTTCTGCTGGTTTAAGGACTACACAGGCTTCAGGGCAAACATGAACGGGACCTGGAAGCTGACCATCTGAGGTAATGGAAAAGTGGAAGGGAGAGCAGCTGCGTGGTTTTGCAGGCAACATCGGTTTCTGCTGTTGTCTTTCTGAACATCTCTGTATGCTATTGTTTACCTTGGGCGTGAAGTCCAGAGCACTCTGCTGCTCTCCTGTCCGTAGGAATTCAATCCTCCTATCTGCTCGTGACAGGTTCACGTTCAGCACCGGGTTCTGGGCCAGCGGAAGGAGCTGAAGGTGGGGCGAGCCTGCGGGCAGTGTTTGCAGCTGGCAATAGAAGGGGCTCGCGTGGCACTGCGCACGTTGCAAGTCCTGCATACGCTTCTCCTCCTCAGGCCCCGGGTGAGGGGAGGGTTGTGTGAGCCCACACCAGGTCTAGGTTTCAGTTTGTGCCGGAATGTGACCTTGTGCCGCCTTCCCGGGCGGGTGCTGCCCCGGCTGCTGCCGGCACAGGCGTGTTTCTGCAGTCAAACGGCAGATGGCACCAGAGCCCTCCTGCCTGCGCCCGGCCCGGCCCTGCCACCGGCGCTGGGCTCCGGCTACCGCTTCTGCTGTCCGTGCGGTACCGGGGTACCGAGCGTTACCCCATACCTCGGAAATAAAGAACTTTTTGGACAAAGAGCAGTTGTCCCCATGGTGATCCCAGCGATGGATGCAGGCGGCTGCTTGGCCCAGTGCACCAGGCTGAGTGGTTCATAGCTCTCGGGCAGAGCTGCGTTAGGCAGTGACCTTCATGAACTCGTCTGTTAAAAGCTGGGTGGTGATGGTTGACAATAATCTGTGGATATTTATAAATGCTTGCTTTATGGATGGGAACATGTCAGTGGGCATCAGAAAGTCTGGCCTCTTCCCCATTTTTGCGGTAGGTTGGCTGTAGCAGGAAAGCTCACCTAATGTGCTTCCTTGTCACACCTGTAAAACGCAGTGATGCCCTTCGAGCTTTCGCTTGTTACCCGGTTCAGCCAATCTTTGTGAATGCCTAAGCTGGTTGAATTGGGTGTGATGCAGAAATACGTTGTTGAGCAGTATTTTCAGTGGTTTTACCTATGTGTGTTATTAAATACCTGCTGGTTTTTTTTTCTTTTCCATAAAAAAGGAAATCATATCCTGCCTCTAGGCCAGAATTAAGCATTTTAGTGGCAATACTTCTTTTTCTGCCACAAAGGAATGTTTTTGAAGGAGGAAATGTGACATGTAGAAAAACAGTAATGATGCCTAATTCTTATTGCCTCTTAGTTTGAGCTGGGCAAGTTAGATATGGATAGGTAATAATTTAAGTTTTTTCTAAATCTCCAGATTTATTTTTTGCTTATTATGTTGGAGTGCATTTCTTCATTTAAACGAAGGGAGTGTCTGAAAAAGGATGTCTCCCTTTAAAGGTGAAATGTAAGATATTTTGGGGTTTCTTTTTCTTTCAAGTCAAGGATAAAATCTGAAATTCTCTGTGGTGTAAAGCTGAACTCCAGAGAGTCCTTTCACAGCTGAATGACACCTTCCTACTGGCACCTCTGCTATGCCACAGGTGCCCTAAACCTCAGGAAGCTTGGGGCTGGCTGGGGAAGAGTTAGCCCCCTCAGTTTGTTACTTCTTTGTAGCTGATAGGTTAACACAAAAAACACTATCTGGGACCTGCCATGGAGGGTTCATTGCAGGAATTGAGGAGCAGGGCTGTATTTTGACATTTGTTGATACTACCTGCCTCCTCTGACTGTCACTGTCAGCGGACCTTTGGTGAAAAGCAGTGAGCTTTTCATGCAGCCAGCTGTGTCCAGATGCCAGACCTCTGTCTACTGATTTCAAGAGAGAGGAGAAGCTGTGTGCTTTGTTAGATCCCTATATTAGGTGGTTTGAATGTCATCTGGAAAGCTTAAACTCCCCTTTTGCTCTCTAGATTGCAGTCTTGCAGTGGGCTTTCTGGTAGTGCTGTCCCTTACGCTCTGGAAAGCAGATAGTCTCCAGATGTGGCAATCTGGAATCCCTTTTTATTTCCTTTTTTTTTTTCTTTCTAAAATCTGGGGAAACTCTGTCTTGTTTCCCCTCCAGTCGCTTACACAGCTTGGAGGAACTGCTGGTGCTCTGCAGCGTGCCTGGGGTTTGTGCCATGTCTGATGTGGACTGCAGTGGAACAAACTAGGTCTGTTGATGGATTCCAAAATCTGACAGCAAAGTAATTTGAGTCAGCATCTGAGAGGCAAGAGCCAGAACCAGATTCATTTAGCCTACATGCTGTTCCACACCAGTTTTCAAGCACTGAGGTGCTAATTCCATCTCTATTGTAAATGCAGAGTGACAGGTGCAGTGTGGCTCGCTGTAGCATCATGCTTTCTGATGCCTTTTCAGGCCTTGAACTATGGGAGGCCCAGCAATGCTAAATTTTAAATGCCTTAGCCTATTGCTCGCCTCATTTGCTTTTCCCTGTCAGACTCTCTGTGATTAGACATGACTTGGTCACTGCTGTACTACTGATCCTAAAAAGAGTTTAGACAAGAGAAACCCTCTGCCACACAGCCCCATGGCTGTGCTGGATGGCAGAGAACTGGCAACCTTCCCCAGGGTTTTCTGCACTCTGTTGGCTACGGAAGATTTCAAGCTGGAAGAGAACTGTGGTGTCCCTCCAGCTTGCCCAGTTAGTGGGAGAGGACTGTTCAGGGAACTGCTTAGAGAACCTCCCTCCACAGAAATCCTCATTGCAAAGTCTAGCAGATCAGGGAAGTTCGTCATAAACCTGAATCACTAGATGCCTGATAAGAGTAGTCTTTTATAAATACTTAATTTGCTTTGGCAGTTAGATCTGTTTAAAAATTGTCCAAAATCATATCTTCAAGATGCAGACATGTACAAACTAGAAGACCAGCATGAGACAGTCACTATTTTTAGATTATGTGAACAATAGTCCATCTCACATGGGCTCTAGCAGAGTATCAGCTGTTTGGACTTGCATCCCAGCTCAACCACATTGTATTTGTTCTCACCACTTTGTAGAGATTTAGCAACAAAGAGTAATAGGTCCTCAGCTGTAGAATGTAGACTTCTGGCTGCGCTTATATAACATCAGTATGTGGTGTTGTTTTTCCCTCTAGTTTGAAATCAGGCAGCTGAGGGCCCACCTTGCTCAGCAGGACTTGGATCTGGCTGCAGAGAGAGAGGCTGCGCTGCAGGTCCCACATGTACTGAACAAACAGAGCAGCAACAGGTACAAGGTGGTAGCAACCGAAGATTCGGATGACGAAGCCACCGAGAACATCACTGAGCTGCGACCTCCACGAGGTGAGTGCTGCTGTACAACTGGTCCCTTACATGGAGCTATTGAATCCACTAAATACTTTCATGCTGCCGGTGAATTGATTGCTTTCCTTGGAGACTGCGTTTCCCATTTTTGCAAAGAGGCTGTGTCTGCTTAGAAGTGGCAGGAGCTGTTGTATTTGCAAACGGGTTCTGAACAGAGCCAGAAAAATGACTTGGAAAGCAAATGACTGTGATGTACCTTCCCAGTGTCTTCACATTGTATCCATCAATCGCTAAAGAAGCAGCAGCCAAATCAGAATTGGAAAATGATAATCACTCAGAGGTAAAAGCAGGGAAATTAAGAACATTGTAAACAGCTTCGGTCATTGGCCACTTGCGTTTCTGTGGTTTGGAGAGGACCCACACATCAGCTATGAAGCCTGCCTTGCCTAGGGGCTATACTCTCACCAGGTTGCTTAAAGCTGCCAGTGCTGGGCAGCCCAGTTGTGCTTGGGTAGGGCATCCCTGGTGCCAGAAAAGGAGCCATGCACTGTGTAGGCAGCTCCTGCTGAGATGTCAGTGTGGAACAGTCTGTCTTCTGTGAGCCGTCTGTGGGGCAGGTGTGTGATTCAGGACAATTTCAACAGTTATATTACTTGGATCCATTTTTCTCACAACTGCTAGACCAGAAGTGCTTTTGGAAAAGACTTTTTCCTGTGATCCCCCAACAATGGAGTGCAGAACGTGTCCTGTCTAAGTTACATTTAACATAATATTCCAGAGGAGGCAACACTTTCTGCCCAAGTGATATGTTAGTCTTCCTGGGACATCTTAGCTTGATTATTTTAGTAGATGAGCAGCATGTAAATATATCTGGAGGTTTGCATGGTATCTTTATTTTGGTCGAAATCCTTAGAATTCAAGGCACAGAAGGACTTTAATCAAAAGGTTTAAGAGAAAAAGCTCACCAGACATTCTGAAACTATAATCCTTTCTATTCTCTGCACAGTAATGAGAGCATGTAAAAATTGGTTTTGTTTTTTTCCTCTTTATAATTGCTAAGCGCTAACCACAATTCAGCCATTAATTATTCCTGATTTTAAATTGTATTTAAAAGCAAGCAGTTGAGCAGACTCCCCCCTAAAACGCATTTCCCCCTTTTTGGTAGGATTTCGGATGTTTACCCAGTGGATATATTATAATTTATGCATATGTTCCTTGAGGGTTACATTTGGAGCTGGAGATTGTTGTGCACATTGTAAGGAGGTTTGCTGAAGTTTTAGTGCTGTGGAGATTCATCTAAAAATTTTTCTGTTGTCTGTCATCCAAGTGAACACAAGCACTCATAATTTGTTTCTCCCTGTAAAATGCTGGCCACACATGCAACAAAGTAGACACACAACCTTCAGGACTGATTTCTACATTCAGTTAGGTTATGTGATTAGAGATTCCTGCCTTTCCCTGAAAAGAGACATTCAGCAAATAAGAACCTGCACTGCTTTACATCTTGGGTCAGGTGCAGTTGTGTTGTATTTAAACTGAGTATACGGAGTTGATTTCTGATTCCCAGAAGTCATCTAAAAATACAGGGGTAAACACATTTTTGTACACTGTATATTACATATAAGCCTTTGTAGATGCATTATTTTGAGCGCTTGGCCTTAGAAGCTAAATTCAGGTGACTCCATTTAAACAACTGTCCTTTGTGTTGAATTGGACAGAAGAAATTTCCTTCGGTCTTACAGCAGGGGACACCCATCTGTGATGGACTGCCACCATGGCGGCCCCCCAGCAAGGGGACACGTTGAGCGCATGAGAAACCACAAGCCCAGCAATAACATTCAGTGCTTTAGTTCACAATCCAGGTAACAGTCAATTGAGGCAGAGGATTTGGCATGTAATTTTCTGGATTATTTTGCAAAGGAAAGAGGTAGTACTGAGGCTTTGAATCCTGCACTAGCAATGCTGTCTTAGAGATTCCTTCTGTGTAGGTTACAGGACTTCAAAACTTCAATTAACAGCTTGAGAAGGCAGTTACCTGAAGGAAGGAAGATCATGAGCCAGCCCTGCCTGGTTCTCCCTCCCCACCTCAGCTGGATCTTTCTTCTCCAGCTCTCCTGGCACCAGCTTGCACTCCCAGTAAGATGCTGGCTGTTGCTGCAGCAGCTTTCGCCATGATCACTTTCACATGCTGCCAGCATTTTCTTCACCTACACTGTGGCCATTCTGACCCATGAATGGATCAGCAAAATCTGAATGTGGTATGTTGGGTGGAAGAAGAGCGTATCTTCAGCTGAAGATGCCTCCACTTGCAAATGTGTGGGAGGGATGTGTCTGGTTGGTGCAGGATCTCCCCACCAGCTCAGGCATGTAAAACACCCCAGAGACCTGGCCCTGCAAAGCACAGACATTTGTTTCCTGTAGGTTGTTTCTGTATCTTCCCCTTCTCACACGCTGTGGTTGCACTGGCTGCTATCTTCAGGGCTTTTCATGACACCTGTTCTGCCTAAAACCCTGTCACCAGTGTGTTAAATCCTGACTTTTGGTCAAGGGTTATGTTTTGTAACTTACCCTGTGTATCAGACCATGTTAGGAATTGTTTTGCATCCGTTTTCTCTAAGCTGTGTTTTCTTAAAGATTCCAGGTGATGGCTGCAGTTAATCATCCTGTGTGCCATACGGCATTTTTGAGCTTTGGTAGGTTGTTTCTGTATCTTCCCCTTCTCACACGCTGTGGTTGCACTGGCTGCTATCTTCAGGGCTTTCCATGACACTTGTTCTGCCTAAAACTCTGTCACCAGTGTTTTAAATCCTGACTTTTGGTCAAGGGTTATGTTTTGTAACACCCTCTGTATCAGACCACGTTAGGAATTGTTTTGCATCCGTTTTCTCTAAGCTATGTTTTTTCCTCCGTAAAGATTCCAGATGATGGCTGCAGTTAATCATTCTGTGTGCCATACGGCATTTGTGAGCTTTGAAAAATATGCATATTACACTGAGTAGCTGGAGGAGAAATAAGGGACCAGGTTGCTAATACTGTTAAAAGAAAAGCTGCAGTTCAAAGCCACAGTTCAGCTGTTAGGCAGAACAGGCTCTGATGTGCTGTGCTCTTACGCTCTGGCAGAACATTAGCCCTACATATAACACCTGAGGGTAGGGCATGGCGTGGAGTGCGTGTGCTTGTGCCAAACTTAACTCTGTCAGCCTTCAAAAGAATCGCCATCTTTGGAGAGCCCTGAGTTCTGCCAAACCAGCAAGCTTGAGTTGGCTAGAGAACATACTGCCTGAGAAAATGGGCTATTCCATCTCAAGCTAATCTTATTTCCCCTGTCCATATTGAACAATGGAAACATTCAGTGCAGAATACTTCACCGCAAAGGGGTTATGGAATAAGAAAGCATTCAGAGTCGTTTCCCTACCTGGGAGTTTTATGGGATAGTGCATAAGTTAAAGCTCCTCAGGGGCAGCAGTAGCTTGTACTCTGGTATTTACACTGGATTTTGTGCAGCCATTTACTGCAGTCTTCAGTAAAGCAAGTCAGGTAACCCCAGCATCGCATCACACATGCAGCGCCTCAGGGAGTTTGTGTCGACACTCCTGGTGCAGACCACAGTGTGTGAGTAGTGTAAGAGCTGGCTGCTTTGGTAGCTTTCAGTATGTGTCTTCACCCAGCTTTTCTTTCTACAGACCTCTCTTTTTATCTGAAGTGCCTTGTACAAGACTGGAGAGGCAAGAACTCTAGTCAGAGGGTCAACAGGCTCCGAGAGTGTAGTAGGCAAGAACTCTAGTCAGAGGGTCAGCGGGCTCTGAGAGTGTCGCGTCACTCCCCAGCTAGTATGTCATGGCTCTTCTTGAAGGACCGCTTCTTGAGGCAGTACAGCTGTAAGCTCTGCGTGGCCTGGTCAGTCCTGTGCTAATTCTCTGAATAATGACCTGGGCACTGTCTCCCTGTAACAATTCACCAAGAGAGCTCCTACCATGGTAGGAATGACTCTGTGGAAAATGAATGGTTAGATGGTATTTTCTAATTAATTTGGCTTCGAAGCAGGAAACTTTTCACCTTTAATTTGCTTTGAATGGAGGTTCTATTTGTCTTGTCAAAAAATTGATCTCCAGAGCGGACAGAGATGAAGGCTAAAACACAGGCTTCAGCATGCAAGTCAAAGGGTGTCACTGTCAACACCAGGAAAGATAAGGGACTTGAGAAAGGCAGGATTCAGGAGCTATAAACCTGTGGCAAACGTTTGCTGCTTGCTGTGTTGCGAGCACTTTCTGCGCTGTCTGTAAAGAGCTTAGAGCGAGAGCCGTTGCATGTGAATGCGTGGCAGCATCGGACCGTTGTGGTCGGCCTTTCTCTAAGAGCAAGGGACATACCCTAAGTGCTGTCATTGCCTTGCTTCTTACCATTTGGCATAATGGCAAACATTATCCTATCTGTTCATCTCAGAACTACAAAGGAAGTTTTTTCTCTTGCTGGGTCCTTACTTGGTACAGTATGTAACTGGTCATGGTCAGAATAACATCGGATGTTTTCTGCTCCTGCACAAATCATTTTTAGTGTTTGGTGTACAGAGTTCCAGACTTCAGGGAATGCCAGGCTCACAGTGCCCCCACATAGCCATTAATACTTCCTTCCAAAATTTATTATTCTTTAATCTCTCCCATAATATATGAATTACAGTCCCTAGTGGAAATGCCTCATTTTCCTGCATATATCATTTCAGTTTTTGAAATTCTACAGTACTGCCATAGTTTTAAGATTAATATTCCACCCATCTATTCCTTTGAGCAAGAACCGGATCCTAGCTCTGTTACTTCACATCGCAGAAAGCTTATTTTTGCTTTTCTGAGTGAAATTTCCATTTTTATGGGGTTAGCAGTAAGTCTTTGGTCTTGGGGGGACTGTTGCAATTTATGTTCCTGCTTGGAGAAAAGTAAAGCTTGTTCTCCCCGTAGGTACCCACTGTTTTTTAAGTGAAGAAGTAGGATATTAGAAGGGAAATGTGAAAAATTCTGGAACTTCAGAGATCTTCCCTTAAGATT